AGAGGATCACCAACGGACTCCTGCATTTCTCCTGAGAGGAAGGTGGAGTGACGGGCCAGGAGAGCTTCTGGGACCCCGTTCTCCGGCTGCGATGCGGGGTGGCAGACAGCAAAAGAGGCGCACCGGTTGAGGATGACGTCAGCTGCTCTGTAGACGGAGCGTACTGCAGGGGCCGGCAGCGTTGTTAGCAAGCAGCCGCTACGAGAGCGGAGTGAGCCGAAGGACAGAGGGCCACCGTCTCTTCCCGCCTCTGAACGTGTACGCCAACAGCGTAACGTGTTGTTCGCTGCGGCCGTATGGAACACATGCTGGTGAGCTCAGTTGGAGAACGGTGTCACCGTCTCGGTTATGCTAACCGGAGGCACGGGACGCTGGTCCATCTCGAACATCTTACTCCAATGAAGCCTCCATCAGGCTCGGCTCCAGAGGGCACGGAGGGACTTTCCGCTCAGTGAACCCCTGCTCTGGAGATGGGTGCGGACTGTGGAGACCGGCTCCCCCAATCTACCAGGAAAGAACCCGTCTGTGGCCTCGCCCGTAGGATGTCCTGTTGGAACACGAGGCCATATGGATCAAGACGGTGAGCCGGAATGGAGCCCAGTAACAACCTTCCCGCCGGATCATCCGAACTGGCGGGAAAGGCGTAGGACGTAAAAAGGGTCCTTTCATGTCAGCCTCCTCCTGGGTTACACCGGGCAACCCCTGGGGCGCCGTCGGCCGGGAGCGGTGTGATCGCCGATGCGAAAACGAGGTGGGATGGGGTGAGCATTCACTCAGCCCCCCTCCACCGACACTACGCGCCCCTGGAGGGAAAGAGCAGCGGGAGCTGCAGCTGAGCACGCCTATCCCGGAGGAACCATCCGATTTGCTCCGAGGGTCGGCGATAAGAGGAAAAAATACAAGATGGCGTTGTCCAGCGTTTAGTGACCTGTCACTGGGAAATATTCCTCGGCGCTTACCTTGGAATAGGACTGCTCGTCATCTTCTCCTCGGGGAGGAGAACTCACCGGACGACCGGAGGTCGACTGCCGGGCCAAGCATCCTTAACAAAGGTTGGTCATCTACACAATTTTCCTTCTTTGTTCTTCTGACAGTGCTATTTTAGCTTGCTGAAGAAAAAATGGGAGCCGATTTCCCGCTCTTAACGTAATTTATACGGACCGGGTGGGGCCCACACAGCAGGTGGGCGTGGACTAAATTTTTTCAGTGCTTATGCTGCGCATAACGGGATAAACCCACTAAAGCGAAGGCCTTAAAGGGCGAAGCTTATACGACATAGAACTCACTACTATTCAGTAGCTTTCAACACCAGATGATCTGTGTTTGATCCTGTATGCTCCACACTGGTTTGTCGTCATTATCTGCATCGTTTTTATGTCTATATTCTGATTTACCTCATTTTGTATTTTGCTTTGTGTGTTACCTGTTGTTCTGTCTGTACAGCACTTTGGTTGGCCTTGTAGCTGTTTTAAGTGCTTTATAAATAAAATGGTATAATATGGTATTCCATTGTAGATGTGGCTTTATGTTTTGGATCATTGTCTTGTTGGAAGATAAATCTCCGTCCCAGTCTCAGGTCTCTTGCAGACTCAAACAGGTTTTCTTCCAGAATGGTCCTGTATTTGGCCCCATCCATCTTCCCATCAATTCTGACCATCTTCCCTATCCCTGCTGATGAAAAGTGGCCCAAACCATGATGCTGCCACCACCGTGTTTGACAGTGGGGATGGTGTGTTCAGGGTGATGAGCTGTGTTGCTTTTACTCCAAACATATCGTTTTGCATTGTGTCCAAACAGTTGGATTTTGGTTTCATGTGACCAGAGCACCTTCTTCCACATGTTTGGTGTCTCCCAGGTGCTTGTGACAAACTTTAAACAACACTTTTTTTTTTTTTTTTTTTTTTTTTAAATTTGCACATTTTTATTGATGATTTTTCCATACAAGTGTACATACAGATTTTACAATATTTTCTTTTTCCAGATGTTCCATACATATCATCCAAGAAAGTCTGCACATAACATCTGTAACTGCCTCAGACATAACAACTTTGCTAGTCTAGATAATATCCAATCATTTCCTTGTTAACAACAACAACAAAAAAAAAAAAAGAAGAGAAAAAAAAAAAAAAAAAAAAACAGAACAAAACTGTACGTAAACTATTTGCAGCCTGTAGCTCTAAGGGTTCCTGTAACCACACTATTAAACGATAAAGTCTGATCTCCAGGATGAAACAAAACCCCGCCAATTTTCCCAATAATTCCTAAATTTTCCAGATTCTAATCTGATGGAAAAAGTCAGCCTTTCCATAATATAAATATTATGCATTATGTCAACCCAATCTTCCCTCTTGGGAGCTTCTGCCTTCAGCCATTTCCTAGTAATGGCTTTTTTGCTTGCTACCAACATAACCCTATACATATATCTATCGCCTGCTCTTGTGATCCTTTCCATCCCTCTTCCCATGTACAGATCCTCAAATGTAAGTGGAATATTCACCCCCAGTACCTTATCCATACAAGTCTTTACATCCCGCCAATAGGGTACCATGAAGGCACAATCCCAAAATACATGGAAGTGCCCTGCTCTGTCTTTTCCACATTGCCTCCAGCATCTCGTATCTTGATATTTTCTTTGTGCTGGTGTACTAAAATATCTTACAATATTCTTCCATCCAAACTCTCTCCACGAAAGGGAACAAGATGTTTTCCACTGTTCCCCACATATCTCCTCCCAGTTCTCCTGTGAGAGCCCACAATTAGCATCTTTTTCCCATCTTGCTTTTATGTATATTGTATCACTCTTCTTCAAATTTTCCAATTCTGTATACAGTTTTGAAATTATTTTCTTTCCCAAATTTGATTCATATGCTGAAATAAACATCTTAATTATACCAGATTGAATCTCAATTAAATTTGCCCTTCTTAGTAGTTCCTCCGTATAATGCCTCAATTGTAAGTACCTGTAGAAATCCTTGTTGTTTAATTCATATTTGTTCTTTATTTCTTCAAAGCTTTGTATAGTATTTTTCTTAACCATCTCCCAGATTATCTTTGGACCCTTTTCCCATTTACTAAATGTTTTGTCTGTTACATTAGGTTTAAAATCTGAGTCATGAGCTATCCACCTTAGTACTCTACCCTGCTCTGTCAACCCATATTTAACGATAATTTTATTCCATATGTCAAGAGATAATCCTAGCCATGGATTTGATTCCTTCCTGAGGTGTTTTCTCAATTTGTTATCATTTATTATGGCTTGTAGAGGCATCTTGGGTGACATGGCGCATTCTATATCTTTCCATTTTGCAGAATATAATGGATTACATATGTTCAGTAGAGTACTCAACTGTGCTGCAATATAGTAGCTCTTCAGACAGGGTAAGGCTAGCCCCCCCTTATCCTTCGATAACTGCAAAGTTCTGAATCTGACCCGTGGTTTCCTTCCTTGCCAAATGAATCTCGATATAATTTTATCCCATTCTGCAAATTCTTTATCCGTCACCTCAACTGGGAGAGATGTAAATAAATACAGTAACCTTGGCAACACATTTGTTTTAATCATTTCTACTCTTGACACTAAGCTTGTAAAGGGGATTAGACTCCACCTTCCCATATCTGACTTTATTCTCGACACCAAGGGGCTAAAGTTTAAAGATTTTAGTTCAGATAAGTCATGGGACAGAAACACTCCGAGGTATTTCAGAGAATTTGACTGCCAATCCCAACTAAATGTGTTTTTAATGAATTGGTCAGGTGAATAGTTGAAAGAAAGAACCTGGGTCTTTTTTGTGTTTAATTTGTAACCTGACATCAGCCCAAATTCATCCATTATACTAATTAGTGCTGGAAGTGACGTGCCTGGTTGAGATAGGTAAATTAAAACATCATCTGCAAATAGTGCTATCTTTTGTTCCCCTCCGTCCATACATATACCCTTTATATTTCCGTTTTGTTTTATCCATTGGCTTAAAGGTTCTAAATATATTGCAAACAGCAGTGGGCTAATTGAGCAGCCTTGGCGGCATCCTCGATGTAATCTAAATGTTTCTGAAAGGCTCCCATTAATTTTGACCCTAGCTGTGGGTTGGTAATATAGTGCTTGAATAATTTTGATAAATGTTTTGTTAAAACCAAATTGTTCTACCACCTTATATAGGAAGTCCTAAACAACACTTTTTAATGGATATCTTTAAGAAATGGCTTTCTTCTTGCCACTCTTCCATAAAGGCCAGATTTGTGCAGTGTACGACTGATTGTTGTCCTATGGACAGACTCTCCCACCTCAGCTGTAGATCTCTGCACTTCATCCAGAGTGATCATGGGCCTCTTGGCTGCATCTCTGATCAGTCTTCTCCTTGTTCCAGATGAAAGTTTAGAGGGACGGCCGGGTCTTGGTAGATTTGCAGTGGTCTCATACTCCTTCCATTTCAATATGATTGCTTGCACAGTGCTCCTTGGGATGTTTAAAGCTTGGGAAATCTTTTTGTATCCAAATCCGGCTTTAAACTTCTCCACAACAGTATCTTGGACCTGCCTGGTGTGTTCCTTGGTCTTCATGATGCTCTCTGCACTTTGAACAGAACCCTGAGACTATCACAGAGCAGGTGCATTTATACAGAGACTTGATTACACACAGGTGGATTCTATTGATCATCATCAGTCATTTGGGACAACATTGGATCATTCATAGATCCTCACTGAACTTCTGGACTGAGTTTGCTGCACTGAAAGTAAAGGGGCCCAATAATATTGCACGCCCCACTTTTCAGTTTTTTATTTGTTAAAAAAGTTCGACCCATCCAATAAATTTCATTCCACTTCACTATTGTGTCCCACTTGTTGATTCTTCACAAAAAATGTACATTTTATATCTTTATGTTTGAAGCCTGAAATGTGGCAAAAGGTTGAAAAGTTCAAGGGGGCAGAATACTTTCGCAAGGCACTGTACTTACTTTGTATCATTCTCACTGACTGTAGCTTGTCTTTCATGACCCTTTTAGCTAAACTACAGGAACAAGGTGGTTCCATGGGAGACAGGAGCCCGTCAGATAAAACCTCAGATGACTGTAAGAAGATAGAAGCTCCCAACTCGTGTCGGTGTGTGTGTCACAGCAAAGCAGCTGGCCAACCAGCTGTTATGGATCTCACCGTGCTGCCATGCCAAGATACTGCGCAGACCTCAACCACACAACCAGACCTTGGTAGGTGGTCCTTTTACTTGTGTGGCAGATAACACAGAATTTAATGATTCTTTGGTCTAATTCTGTGTGCTGTTTCAGATTTATACAGTTTTGTGACATGCAAACAAAAAAAACCCTGAAAAATTATTAATAAAAAATTAATCTAGTGCAGTGGTTTTCAAACTGTGACCACATCTGTTTTTATTTCGATATGCTATATTTTTAAAACATTGGTACAAAAAATTGCAAGGGAAATAGATTTTTTGGACCTTATTGCCAATGAAACTTGTTTTTGGGATGCACAAACTTTTTAGATGAAAGGGATGGTTTGCATGCTGTGCAGTGTGGAGAGTGGATCTTCTGCTTACTGGTCAGAAGGTGCATGTAGGGCTGGGCCATATCATATCGTTCAAAAAAATCTTATAGTTAGGTTTGGCTTGTCTCTTTCCAACACGGATGCCAGTCACAGCTACATTCTGGCATAGATTAACTACGAGACTCAAAATATATTCCGTCAGTCATAGCACAGAAAGCAGGATATATATATTTTTTTACAATAATATTTTTATTGAGATTTGTCACTTTCAAAATACAGTCATGTAACAATCTGCACAAGCTTCTTTTTTTTTTTTGTTCATGACAGTAACATAAATCTATAAGCCCAATTTTGGAACTTCAGCTAATTCAAGTTAAATGAAAAAACAAAACAAAACAAAATAAAGAGTTTAACCCCCCCCCACCCAAAAAAACAACAACCAACAAACAAAAACAAAACAAACCTTCTCAAAAACAACAGGGGATTGAGCATTATTAGACAGATTGAATACACTTGTACATGTCTACTCAACATGTCGCACCGCAGGTTCCAGATAATCAAGAGTCCAACCATCTCTCTGATTAAGTCTAAGTCCTTAATAAAATTAATGAAAGGACCCCAGAGCTTCTTAAAAAGATGTTGCTTGGATTTCCTAATGTATACTATTCTTTCCAGTGGCAAATTAGACGACGTCTGCTTTATCCACTGAGTGCCGCTAGCTCTGCTGACATTCTTCCAAGCCATAGCTTTACACATTTGTGCAGATAACAGCCATATATCTATAAAAGTGCATTTTGTTTTTCTAAAATTATGTTTCTCAGGATATAAGGCTAATAGGAACAATTTAGGAACCAGTGTAATTTTCTTTTGAGATAATTTTTTCAATTATATCTCACCTCCTTCCAAAATGTGTTAATTTGTGTGCATCCCCACATGCAGTGTATTAAAGTCCCTTTAGAGTTACATGCTGGTGAAGATTCTCAGTCATCCAGGACATGATGAATTCAAAAAGCGTTCAATACAAAAACAACTGGACTTTATTTGTAACAG